AGGCAGGCAGGCAGACTGACTGGGGTGACCGGGGACGCGAGGAGCCCACCGCGCCTCCAGTGGGACGACCGGGAAGCCTCCCTTTCACGGAGGTAGACCAGCAAGACCCAACCTCCCCCCCCCCCGGCCGGTAGACCGGAGGAGAGTCGAGGGCCGGAAGACCGGGCAACGCTGCCAGCCCCTTCGGCAGGTAGACTGGACTTACCGAAGTCTGGAGGCTAGTAGACTGGCCAGCGGTTTCACTCCCTACGCCAGGTCGTCTGGCGGAGCCGCGCCTTCCCTTGGCAGGGCCGGGGTGACCTGGCAGGCCTTCGGAGGGGTAGCCCGAGAAGCCTTCCGTTCTCGGAGTTAGACCGGCAAGACCTAGCCTCCCTGGCCAGCAGACCGTAGGGGAGCCCAGGGCCGGGACACCGGGCACCGCTTCTAGCCCCCTCCTTTGGGGGTGGGCCAGACCGGGGGGACAGATGACGCGAGAAGCAGACTGCCGTTCTCGGAAGAGGGCCGGCAAATCCCAGCCTCCTCGGTGAGTAGACCACGGGACAGCAGTTCCAGGCACGCCGCGGGCTGGACTGGCGTCTCCCGGGCCCAAGTAGGAGCGACCGGGAAACCGTCTGTTCTCCGAAGGAAACCGCAAAACCCCAGCCTCCCCGGCCGGCAGACCGTGGGGCAGCGATCTCAGCCCCGCCGCCGGGAAGACCGGGGCCATCGCGAGTAGACGGTGCGGTCCGCTGGCCTCGGGCGGGTAGACTGGAGAGGACCACTCACCGTCGCCGGAGGGACTGAGAAGTTTTCCATCCGTCCGTCCTCCCAAGTGGACCGGAAAGCCCCAGCCGCCTCGGCCAGGCGGAGAACGGCCGCTGTTTGCAGCCCTGCCGTCAGCTTGACTGCCCGACTTCCACCCGCCGGCCGACTGACCGGCTGGGGGGACCGGGCAGCGGACAGACCTCCCAGCGGTAGACCGGGAAAGCCTTCCGTCCTCTGAAGGGGATCGCCATGTCCCAGTCCCAGTTTGCCTCGTCAGTAGTACACCAGAGGAGAGCCCCCAGCGGCCGCAGAAGGAACGGACCACGCTGCCGGCGCTTCCGGAGGGGAGCTACACGCAGCCTCCTAAGCTCCACCGCCACCCCCCAGGAAAACGGCCAGTGCTTACGCTCCTTCCTCCGGGAAGACCGGCTGAGCCACCCCCGCTTGCCGGCCGGTAGACCGGGGCCACCAGCAACCTCTTCCCCTGAACTGGCCAGAGGTTAGACCCACACAGTGCAAAGCTTGCCTTTTGCTGGCCTTTGCATCCTCCGCCAGCCACTCTTGCCTCGCTTCCGTCAGTCACGCAGAAGCAAGAGGGCAGGCGCCGGGAACGGTCTACTGCCACCCCAGCGCCGCCCCACGTGAGAGGACCATGCTGCTGGAGGAAAAGAATGGACCCCTAGACACTATATCGCTGATAAAGAGCAGGCTGCTTCTGGAAGAAAATGGGAGCATCCAACATCATGCTGGCTGAGTCAAAATAGATGTAACCATTAGGAGTTCAGCGGGACTCCTAAACCAAGGGACAGGCTCCTGCCCGGTCTGCCTGGGGGAAGGGAAGACAGGCAGGCACTCCGGGTATCGGTGGCGCCCAGGGCATGGTGGAGGCTGGGCATGCAGCGCCAACCCCCCCTCGTCCACACGCTGGGCACCGACCTGGGTAAATATACTTCATTTGAAGGGAGGGGAAGCCTTGCTTAGCAGTTAGAGCACCCCTTTGACCTGGCGCCCCCCGACCTCCCCTCAGGCTGGTACATGAGCTCCTTGGAGCAACGAGCCAAGCCGCCGGCCGCCCCTGCCTGACTCCACTCCACTCCCCGACCCCGAGTGCCGCGGCCTCAGGTTGTGAGCTCCGCGCCTGGTACAGCATGGCCGAGACAGGTAAGCTTGGGGCAATGGAGTTCGGAAATCCAACAGGCCCAGAGCCCCCTACTTGGCCTTTTCCCCGGTGTGGTGGAGGAAATGCCCCCTGGCCCGGTTCTCATAGTTCCATATCAATATCACATAATACGTTTCTAAACTGCAGTACGTATCGTATCATATAATTTCTATTGGTTGATTTCTAGACTACCAACCCGCCTGCTGGGGTTGGCGTAAAGAAATACCATCCTGATCATTCTTATCATGACATTTACTGGTGCCCTGCTTCCCGTCCCCTTTTGGGGACTGATAAAAGCGAGAGCGACTGAGACCAGATGGCAATCCGCAATCCATGCCGAGTCAGACTAGATGACCCCCAGACCCTCACCCTTCCCCTGCAGGACTCAACGGGAGCTTCACATTGGAGCTGAGCCATGGCGAAGCTCCGCCTCGTCCTCTGGCGCCTGGCGCCCCCTGCTGGCCTCCACCAGAAGAGTCCCGTGCGCTTTCCAGGTGGGTCTTGGGCTCCTCGCTCTCGCCGGCCGGCTCCTTCGCCGGAGCATGTCAAGAGCGCTGTCTCCCCCTCTACAGGTGACCTTTTCCTCGGTGGTGAGCGTGGCGCTGGACGATGTGCAGTTCAGGAACTGTGGCCCCCAAAGTAAGGCTTTCTTTTCCACCTCCCCCAAACCCAGCCAACCAGATAGACTGCCTCTGGGCTTGGAGGCTCCCCATTCACCATCCCAACGTTTCCAGGTCCCCGGAGCTGCGCCCCAGACAAGCGCCCATGCCTACCAAGCAGCTGTGTGTCCCCTGCCCGCCATTGTGATGGCACCAAGGACTGTGGCGAGGCAGCAACGAACGGGGTGGCAGTGAGCAGTCGGGGGGCATTTGAGGCCGGGGGGATGTGGGCACCACTGGAAGGGGGGAGGGCAGAAAAGGCACCCCTGGGACCCACCCACCTGCCTTTCTCCCCCAGAGACCTTCCTCTCATGCTTCTTTGAGGAGGGCTGGAGCAGGTGGGCAGCGGATGCCAACCAGAACCTCTCCTGGGCGAGAAACTGCAGCTCCCAGGCGCCACCGTCCCCAGCCCGCCCCACCCGCGACCAGACCACCAACACGCCGGAAGGTGGGTGCTGGTTGTTAATATGTAGAGGATGTCAGCAAGGCTGAACCTTTCCATAAATAAACTATTTGAATCAAGTCTTACCAATTTGGGGCATGTGCAGAGTTCGGCACTGGGTGCTTTCTCTCTCCAGTTGGTAGACATGACAGCTGACAGCCTTCAGTTCTCCACTGGGTAGACTGAAGAGCTTTGTGATCTACCTGAAGGGGATCAACAACCCAGTCTACCCAGAGCCAAAGGCTGCCTGGTATGATGTTCTCAACTGCAGATCCAAAGGAGGTCTTGCGGGAGTGGTTGGGTGCAGGCGTACCACAGATGGAAGTCAAACTCCAGAGTGATCAGTTCTAGTGCTTTATTAAAAGCTTTATTACAGCAAATCAGTCTGCCAGGCCTCCCACCCTTTACAGTTGCAGGACAGACACCTCAGCAAGGAGTTGGCTTGTCTGCACCCAAGCAAACTTTCATACATCTGTATACACAAAGCAGCATACTTCACTTCGGCCAGGACTTCCCATCACTCCACTTGACCAGATGAGGGCATAGGTGGCAAATACCAAAGTCTTATAGCTAACTCCTCTTTCTGGACTCCATGCACCCGAAGCCCCCAGTTAAGGATAGCATCAAAACAAGCCAATTAGCTTATATGAGCTCATCACTACAACAACTACCTATTAATTGTGGGGTTATCTTGACTACCAAAATGGTGTTTGCAGAGCTTCCAGAACAGTTCACCTTTGGTTCAACACAACCCACCCCTTCAAGATAACCCTAACAATCTACACGCCCAATCTTCCGCAAGTTCCTCGGGGTCTAGGAGGAGTGGAGTTATGCAGTGAATCTGTTACTCAGCTTACAAGAAAAACCCACAACAGCAATGCAAAAATATGCAATGAAGCAATCTCATAGTTATAACTGTAACAAAAAACACCAGTAAGTGGTGCCACCCCCTGCAAGTCCTTGGAACCACCTCTGGACCATGGTCCTCCGCGATTCATGTTCCAATCAGGCTACCTTGGCACAATCTTGATATAAAGCATGCACCATCTTATTTAGCTAGACTTATCTGAAATATATGTTCTAATACACAAATCATTTTTATTTAACAGCTTGAAATATCACAAAAAGCCTCCATGTCCGTGTTCTGGTTATCTGCATGCAGATCCAACATTATATGAGTCACCGTTTGCTGCCAAACAATAAGTCCAATCACGGCAGAAACTTCTGCTGCCCCAGTGAGAATTCATGACCGCCAAGCTCCAGATCCACGTGAAGTACAGGAACATTCTGGCACAGGTATGGATACAGCCAGCAGAGGAAACCTAGGACCAATCCCAATATCCACTCCAGTGGCAGCCTATTAATGAACAAACAAATATTGGTTAGGTGCTCAGAGAATAACTTGCACCTATATATTAGTAAGACAAAGGAGGTGCTGTTGGACTTCCAGAGGAAGAGAGGGGAACCTGCCCCATTGTATATTGGGGGGGGGCTGTGTGGAGAGAGTCCCCTGCTTTAAATTCCTGGGAGTTTACCTTAGTGAGGACCTCACTTGGAAAATCTTCTACCCTCGGGCAGGAGATATAGAAGTATAATCAAGTCATACCAACAGGCTAAAAAATAGCTTCTATCTGTGGGCTGTTAGGCTGTTGAATGGAAAATAACATAGCAAAACTGACGTGCGAGGTGGTGTGTTGTTCGATAAGCACACAGAGTGCAACGAGATTGAGTGTTTGGGGGGGGAGGCTTGTTTAATTTCATTGTACACAGGTTATATAATGACAATAAAGGTATTATTACTCTGGGCACATCATCGCCTTGTCCAAGCTGGGCTCAGAACTTCAGTGGTGTGCAGTTGATCTTCTCCCAGCCTGGTAGGAAAATTATTGCAGAGCATGGAGGATCAGATTTACTTCTCATTTCACACACCCCCAAGTACTTGCACTCATTCCAGGGCTCACCCAGATCTTGGGGTTATTGTACCATAAGTGCCAATAGGCATCCAAAGCCCCAATTCAGTGGGGACCACAGCAGGAGCTGTATCTATCAATCCTTCTCTCAAGACACAGAACCTTCTGAGGCTCATGTAGACAACTGTGCAGCAGGCTACACTTTCCACACTCAAAGAACTGGAGGAGCACCCATCACCCCCTTAGCTTTTCCACAGAGGATCCCTTTCCAGTCTTCCAGTTGTTAGACAGCTGTAATGCATCTTCCAGAATGGAATGGAGCCCACCCCTTCAGGGTTTTGGATGACCCAGACAGAATTTGGACTTGCTGTTCCAGTAATCCTGAATTTCAGGAGCTTTGACTAGATGATTCCTGGTCTCTTACAACTCTACTATTCTATAATCCATTCATGCATTTTGTGGTTCCAATGCATGATACCCGCTGCTAGGAAAAACAGCAGCTCCTTTGAAGAGCTGAGTATCCAACCTCACAGCCTTCATGTAGTGGTGGAACATCTGGCACTATGTGGGCTTACCATCAATACCAGAAGTTCCTAATGGTCTCCCTGGAGAACATCCCCAGAAAGAAAGTGGTGGTCAATGCTAAAATGGCACTAAAGAGGTCAGGCAAATGGAAATAGCTTAGGATCCCATTCACCACTGAGAGAAGAATGGCAATCCAACCCCTTGAGAGGCTGCAAGGGAAATCTTGAGGAAGGGTTCCCTGAAACCCCAACACAGGGTGTTCAGACTACAGACTGTGGTCCTACCCTACTTTTACAACCAGCTGTCGTTAGAGTTGGAGGGGTGCAAATGCTTACCTGCATGGACCACTGCTCAAGGACAAGTAGAACCTGGCTTGGTCTCCCGGCATCCAGACTTGTGGCGTAGTTTCACATCAAGGTAAATGATGGAGGTCCCTGTTTGCAATGGCTGAGATGGAGCATACGGAGCCTGCATAGAGAACACCTTCATAAATTGCCTTTAAGCAGGTCCGCAAGCAGTCCTTAGCTGGGAACCTCCTGGCAAAGGAACTGAAGGTAATGGAACATCACTTCAGAAACAGAGGAAGCTTCCTGCATACAACAGGGGCCCTGAGTGAAAGATGGATTGATGAAGCAGGGGAGCACATTGATGGTGGGGGTTAGAAGAAGAATAAAAAACACCAAACCAAGAGGCATGGTTGCACGTGTTTTCTGTCAGGAAGGGATTACTTTAATTCCGTAAAACTCTGGATAAATGTGCTCCCAATATGAAAACGTCTAGCCAGAGGCAGAAGACTTGACAGACTCTGCAGAGGTGGATGCCATACATCTGAGACCCTGAACCAATGCGAGGGTGTTACAGTAGTCTACAGACACTGTGCAACAGAAACTGCAAGTTACATGTCACTTCAGTAAGAATGCCTGGAGTGATCATAAAAGAACTGTTGCCTTTAGGAATAATAGGAAAGAAATATCTCAAGGCTCCATCACCATGGGTTGTGATCGGAGGGCTGTATGCTGAATGCTTACAGCATTGTCAAACAAACAGCCTCCATCCAAACAGATAGAAGAGAGCAGGATTAAAAACTAGTGCTACAAAACACACCATAATACAAAATAAACTAGTCACCCCCCCCAAACAATTTCCCCCCCCCCAAAAAAGCCTAACGTGCCTATCCCTACCTCCTCGTGGTGAGAGTCAGGCAACGTCTTTAGGCGGCAACGTCTTTAGGCGGCTAACAGGGAAGGCTTATCTGAACCTCTGGGTCCGTGCCAGAGAGCTTCAGCTCATCCTCACCCAGATCCCTTGCGGGTATGAATCCTTGCGGAACCGCAAAGCGGTGGTGAGTCATCGGACCGTACTACCCGGGTGAGGAGCAGCTCCCATGCTGCTGGGCCTGGTGTAGTTCCTGCGGTGGAACAACCAGTTTTCGTATGCGAACACCCAGATTGCGAGAGAGCCTTTAACACCAAGACCGGACGCGGTGTCCATCACCAACGAGCCCACCCAGACTGGTATGACGCGCAACAAAATACGCATCAGGTGAAAAGGAGATGGACCCCCGAGGAAACAGCACTGCTGGCCAGAGAGGAGGCAAGACTCCTAACCTCGGGGGCACGCCATATGAACCTAGCCCTGATGGAGAAGTTCCCAGAAAGAACAGCAGAGGCTATAAAAGCCCATAGGCGCCAGCAGGCCTATCGGGAATTGGTTGCGACGTATACCCAGGAACAGCTAGAGGTGGTAGACGGACCAGCCCCTCAACCTGTGGTGGAAGCTTCGAATACCCAGTGGCGTGACAGGCTGATACAACACCTGCAGCAGCTCCCCAGAATGCCAACCACCACGGAACACCTCGTGCGATTGGAAAGGCTGAGTGCCACCGTCGGGTCGAGGACGCTCACCGACGTGTATGAAGAACTATCCCTGGTTGTGCGGGGCATGCAGGGTACACAACCCTGGAGGGCGCAGAGAGGGAAACGAAGTAGCCAAGAACAACAGATGTCCAATAGGTGGAAGAGGTGAGAGCAATATGCCAAATTCCAACATCTATGGCATAAGAGTCCCACTAAATGTATTAAGTGGGCTCTTGATAAGAACAGGGACGTGCCAATAGAAAATGGCGCGAGCCTCTTTCCGTACTGGGAAAAGCTAATGACCAGGGCTCCGGACTGCTCACCTGGCCCTGGCCCCAGGAGAGATGTTATAACATCCTTATGGGAACCCATGACGGCTGCTGAGATTAAGAGAGCCATATCATCGGTCTCAACGGCGCCAGGACCTGATGGAATGACCGTGGAACAGGTGAAGAAGCTGCCTCTAGGTGCCCTGGAGCAGCTCTTCAACCTAATAATGGTATGTCGGAAATGCCCCCCCGTCGTTGCTGGGGGCTCGAACAACACTGATTCCCAAAAAAAGATCATGCAGCTGAGGCGATAAAAGCCCATAGGCGCCACCAGGCCTACCAGGAATTGGTTAGGATCAACTGACCCATGTTCAACTGCTGTTCACATGGAACCCTTCTCCACTTCGGCCTTCAAAGTTCTCGTTTGACTATCTGCTACTCAACGGCACCAGGACCTGACGGAATGACTGTCGAACACGTGAAGAAGCTGCCTCTAGGTGCGCTGGAGCGGCTCTTCAACCTAATAATGGTATGTGGGAAATGCCCCCAGTCGTTGCTGGGGACTCGAACAACACAGATTCCCAAAAAAGATCATGCCCAAGATCCGGGAGACTTCCGCCCCATAACTGTCTCCCCAGTATTGACCAGAGTCTTCCACAAGGTCCTGGCTGTGCGGTTGACTAGAGAAGTCGACTTAGTAACATGACAGCAAAAAATGGGAATTTATTTAAAGATAACTATGAAAAATGTTGGGCTGAAGTGAAAAAAGATTTAGAAATTTGGTCAAATTTGAAGCTTTCACTGCTGGGCCGTATTGCTGCGGTAAAAATGAATGTATTGCCTAGAATGTTGTTTTTGTTTCAAACGCTGCAAATTGTGGACAAAATGGACTGTTTCAAGAGGTGGCAGAGAGATATTTCTAGATTTGTCTGGCAGGGCAAGAAGCCCAGAATAAAATTTAAAATACTAACAGATGCAAAGGAAAGAGGTGGATTTGCCCTGCCAGACCTTAAACTTTATTATGAATCAGCAGCTTTTTGCTGGTTGAAAGAATGGCTGCTTCTTGAAAACACTGACATTTTGGATCTAGAAGGTTTTAACAATGTATTTGGATGGCATGCATATCTGTGGTATGATAAGGTCAAAGCACATAAAGCATTTAAAAATCATATTGTCAGGAAAGCTTTGTTTAATGTTTGGATAAGATATAAGGATTTATTGGAAAATAAAACCCCAAGGTGGCTGTCACCGATGGAAGCGAAAGCCTTGAAAAAGCTTAATATGGAGGTCAAATGGCCGAAATATTGGGAAATTTTAGAACAAGACGGAGATAGATTGAAACTGCAGAGTTTTGAAAAACTAAAAAATAAAGTGCGAGACTGGCTTCATTATTATCAGATAATGGAGGCATACAATTTGGACAAGAAAATTGGCTTCCAGGTGGAAAAATCAAAATTAGAAACAGAACTCTTAGAACCCAAAACTAAGAATTTGTCAAGAATGTATAACTTGCTGCTGAAATGGAATACTCAGGATGAAACGGTGAAATCTGCTATGATTAAATGGGCACAAGATGTTGGACATAATATTATGTTTGCTGACTGGGAACAGTTATGGACCACAGGTATGAAGTTTACGGTATGTAATGCCCTAAGAGAGAATATTATGAAAATGATATACAGGTGGTACATAACCCCAGTCAAGCTTGCAAAAATCTACCATTTGCCCGATAATAAATGTTGGAAATGTAAAGAAACTGAAGGTACATTCTTTCACCTTTGGTGGACGTGCCCAAGGATTAAGGTTTTCTGGGAGATGATTTATAATGAATTAAAAAAGGTATTTAAATATACCTGCTTGAAGAAACCAGAGGCCTTTCTCCTGGGCATAGTCGACCAATCGGTGTTAAAGAAGGACAGAACTTTCTTTATGTACGCTACAACAGCAGCAAGAATACTTATCGCAAAGTATTGGAAGACACAAGAGCTACCCACACTGGAGGAATGGCAGATGAAAATGATGGACTATATGGAATTGGCAGAAATGACTGGCAGAATCCGTGACCAGGGAGAAGAGTTGGTGGAAGAAGATTGGAAGAAATTTAAAGACTATTTACAGAAACACTGCAAAATCAATGAATGTTAGAGTGATGTTGGATTGAAGTTAAGTGGCTTCTAGCTGAACAGGTTTTAAAGCTATAAATGTATCAAGATTAAGGATTAGGACCAAAAGACTAAGAGAAATGGAAAAATTGGTTCAAATAGGTAAAAATCTAATGTCATAATATATCAAGATTTAGGACTGGAATTAAAAAGGAGGGTAAGAAATTGCTGGGTTTACAAACTGAATTGGAATACAAAAGAGGGAGGTATGAGGAAGTCTGGGAAACAGGTAAATTTAAAAGAGGTTATGAAAGGACGGAACTATTTTTAACTGTTTCTTTTTTTTTCTTTTTTCTTTTTTTTACCTTTTTCTATTCTGTACTTTGTATTTTGTGTGGTGTATTTTTCTCTGTTTTTGTTAAAATTTTTGTGTTTGTTGATGTGATTTTATTCTTTCTGAAACTTTAATAAATATTAATTAAAAAAAAAAAAAGAGAAGTCAACTTAGACCCTAGACAACGGGCCTTCCAGCAGTTCGATGGGTTCTCCAAAAACATCTTCCTCCTGGATATGGTACTCCGGAACCACAAGCAGTGGTCGAAACTTGGCATCCCTGGACGTGGCGAAAGCGTTCGACTCTGTGGCCCATCGTACCATCAAGGAAACCCTTCAGATGATGGGGATCCCCAACCCAATGACACACTATATAAGTGATGTCTATGACCGGAGTACCACCGTACTTTCGTGCGGTGGCGCGACCTCCCAGGAATTTCACCCCAGGTGTGGGGTGAAGCAGGGTGACCCCATGTCACCCTGCATATTTAATATGATCATGGACAGTCTCCTTCGGAAGATACCGAAGGAGGTAGGGGCCGACCTGGGAGAAGGCGTGACAGTGAACGGTGTAGCCTTTGCAGACGACCTGGTGTTTGTGGCGTCTACACCAGTAGGGCTACAAACTACCATCGACATAGTGGGTAGACATCTAGCACTATGTGGCCTCACTGTAAACTCTGGGAAGAGCTTGACAGTATCCTTGGAAGTCATCCCCAAGGAGAAGAAAACGGTGGTGAACCTGCGACAGGTATTCACCTGTAACAGCAAACCGTTGCAAGCTCTCAAGCGGTCAGACCAGTGGCACTACCTGGACGTGCCCTTCAAGCCAGAAGGACACATGGCAACTCGGCCTCTGGACCATCTAAAGGAGCTTCTGGACACCATCGGCAAAGCTCCCTTGAAGCCTCAGCAATGGATGTTTGGCTTTCGTGCCGTCGCTATACCATCAGCTCTCTATGGGCTCAACCACAGTGGGACTGCTCAACAGAGTGGACCGCTGTGTGAGGACGGCAGTGAGAAAGTGGCTAGGTCTCCCAGATAGTACGCCTGTCGCGTACTTCCACACTAAGGTCAGTGACGGAGGCCTAGGAATTCCGGCGATGCGCTGGATGATGCCACGACTTCGTAGGGATCAGCTCCTACGACTGCCACTGGTAAGGACGGAGCAGTCTACATCTGGGACCTTTCTGAGGTGGGAGCTCTCTCTGTTAGAGGGGTGGCTACTAGAGAGGGGAAACTGCCTGTTCCCAGCTCAGGCACAAAAACGCCGATGGGCCAGTCTCCTGTACCAATCGGTGGATGGTTGTGCATTGAAGGAGTCTGGGAAAACCCGTAGCCAGCACAACTGGGTCTATGGCTGCACTAAGTTCCTGTCGGGCAAGGACTATCGTAACTCCATTCGGATGCACATCAATGCACTTCCAACCAGGTCCTGCTTGGCCAGGGGACAGAGAGCTGACCGGCTATGTCACGGCGGGTGCCAGATGCCCAAAACTCTGAACCACGTTCTCCAAGTCTGCTACAGGTCTCATGCAGCGGCCTGTCTCTCCTGGATCAAGGAATGGTGTACACTACAAAACACAGACCTTCTAGACCTGGAAGGACATTACAACCGTTATGGCTGGCATGCCTACTTAAGGTTATGATAAAGTTAAGATCCACAAAAAAATAATAATCATATTATAAGGAAACCTCTCTATATGGTTTGGGAAAATACAAAGATTTGCTTGAACCTAAAACTCTGAGGTGGATATCTCCCATTGAAGCACTAGCAGTGAAGAAGAAAAAATATGGAAGGAAGAGGAAGGAAAAAGCTTTGAAGAAATTAGAGAACATCTGTCAGGTTGGTTACAATATCACCAACTTTATGAGGTATTTAAACTAGACAAAAGAAATGGTTTTGCGATGGAACCCTCTACATTGGAAAAAGAACTGATCAATTCTTTTTTTTTATTAAATATTTTATTAAGGATTTTCTTGTTTTACAGAAGAACTGATCAATTCTAAAGTGAAAATCCTCTCCAATCGGTAATCCTCTAAAATCTGTAATGGTCAAGTGGGTTCAAGATTTTGGCTCTAGTATCCCAATGAAAGCCTGGGAAAATCTATGAAGTTCACCGCATGCTACACCTTGAAAGAAAATTTTATGTAGATGCAATTCTGCTGGTACTTAACACCACTAAAATTATCCAAAATGTATAAGAACATTTCAAGTAAATGCTGGAGATGTGGGGGAGCGGAAGGCTCAATGTTACATATGTGGTGGACCTGTAAGAAAATAAAGGAATTTTGCAATGTAATTTATAATGAGCTCAAAAGAATTATGATAGTATCCTTCATTTTAAAAAATGGAGGCTTTCCTCCTGGGGATATTAGGCCCAGACATACCTGTGGTGGACCTGAGGAGGGCTCATGCTCAGAAAGTCCACTAGTACGCCGGCAACAGTAGTCTCCTGGAGTTGGTTAAAGAGCGCTACCAAGTGATAAAAAAGAGAGGAGGCTTCGTGCTCCCTGATCTAGAGTTATATCATGCAGCTGCAGCACTACTATGGATGAAAGACTGGATAACATTAAGGGATTTTGATGTATTAGATTTGGAGGGATATGATCATCAGTATGGGTGGCATGCCTATTTAATATATGAGAAGGTAAAGGTCCACAGGGGCTTCCTGAATCATTTAATAAGGAAATAATTATATAAGATCTGGTCAAAATATAAAGGAATACTAGAACCCAAGAACCCCCTGTGGACCTCACCTACAGAAGCACAGGCAGTTAAGAAAAAGAATATGGAAGGGGAATGGGCCACATACAGATTATTATTAGAAGGACAACAGGATGAACCTATACTGAAAAAATATGAAGAAATTAAAGGGCATTTGACAAACTGGCTGCAATATTTTCAAATACATCAAAGATTAACTATTGATAAAAAAGTAGGGCTTGCAAAAGAAACATCAAAATTTGAAAAAAGAATTGATACAAAGTAAAGGAAAATATATCTCACGGGTATACGACCTCCTATTGGAATGGGAGGTAAAGGAAGAACAAGTGAAAGCCATAATGGTGAGATGGACACAAGATTTGGGTTATAATATTTATGGAACAATGAGAAAAATTATGGCGGGAAGACATAAAATTCACGGCCTGCTACAGTTTCATGAAAAACACAATTAAGATGAGGTATAGATGGCATCAAACTCCAGAAAAACTTGCTAAAATGTATAAGAACAGATCACCTTTATGTTGGAGGTGTAATAAAGAAATTGGGTCTTATTTGCATATGTGGTGGAAAGGTGCAGATATTTGTGTTTTTTGGAATAATATATATGAAGAAATTTAAGAATTATTTAAATTAACATTAAATTAACATTCAAAAAGAGGCCAGAAATATTTTTATTAAGCATTTTGCCAAAAGAAATAGAGAAATAAAAAAAGAACATTGTTCATGTACGGAATAATGATGGTCAGAATTTTAGTAGTAAGAAATTGGAAAAACACAATAATACCCAACACGGAAGATTGGCAAATCCTAATGGTAGAATATCTGCAGCTAGCGAAAGCGACAGGAAGAGTAAGAGGCCAACCAAAACAAAAAGTCTATAAGGATTGTGGAATCTTTAAAGAATATTTAGAAAACTATGGAATAAAAGGAAACATCTTGGCTGAATTAGACTGATCCCTGCATTGTATAAATATAAGTTCATAGGGAGGTAAAAAGAAATTATATAAGAAATATGTAACTGTGCAGTATAAAGTAATGGATAGATAAAGTACAGTGAGATTAACTGGAAGCCAGCTTTAAATTTCTTCTCTGTAAGTTTTATAATTGTGTTCAGTATCAGGAGTATATAAGTTGACAATTATATTAATCTTCTTGTATCTTATAGTGTGTAGTTTGATTTTTCTGTTATTTGTTTGATTGTGTTTGTTTACTTGTATGTACATCTGTTTTTTCATAAATGTATTTATTTAAAATTAATAAAGATATATTTAAAATAAAAAAAATAAGTGTGCTACTAAGTGGAAGACCTGAGAACCACATCTGCAACACTCTCCTGCAGAGGGGTGTGGAGTGATCGCTTGGCAGAGGACCTGTTAGCCTGGGGTATTGTCTGGAAGCAAGACCTTAAGGTTCTCTCATCATGAGTGGTGATTGGAGGCATTTATGCTCATTCCATCTTTAACAAAACAGCCGCCTCCCTCGGTGCTGGGATGTGAGCGCCCAGAAAATTGCCCAGGTATACCACAGGACTGCTAGAAAATAATCCGTACCTCTGTGGATAAAGAGATGCAACGTCTGAGGGTCGTGGTGCCCCGATGATGACAAAAAAAGAGCCAAATTCCTCATCTAGTGACACGCATGAATGGATGAAGGAGATTCCCACTGTCCCCACCTGTCTAGTGAAACCACAGTCAAGGGAACGGGCTTGGCGGAATCAGCAGGGAAAGACATGAGGTGTGGAATAAGTGGGAGGCCCGCCTGTTTTTCACTTACCCAGTGAGGGGGGGTGCTGCCTAGTGGCCCACTTTTGGTAAACTACGAGGGGAAGCACAGCCAGAAGGAAACCGGGCACTCCCCTGTTGGTATTATGAATACTTGATGCACATAGTCAGTGAGCAGGTGGGCTTAGACAGCGATCCATTTCCCTGTCAGCAAGGGGTCTGGGGTGGCCTCTCTGCAGACAATTTGCAAACCCTTGGAATTATAACTAAAATGGTTATCAAGGTCATATCACCCCTAGTTGTGATTGGAGGCATTTAATCTTTGACACCTCCCTTTCAATGGAGGCGCAGGTTTCAGCTACAACGCAGCCAAGCAGGGCCATGTTGCCCCACCCGCCAGCCCGCCCGCGCAGCCGGGAGCCCGGCCAGTGGACGCAGCACTTGGCGGGCACGACCAGAGCCGTAGCTAGGTAATCTTGCGCCCCTGGCAGTCCTGGGTGTCAAGGGGGTGTCATCGCTCGCTGCGGGGGGTGCCCGCCCTCCTCTCCCTGCACACGGCTAGCCCTGCCCCCGCACAGCCCCGCCCCAGCGTGCACAGCAAGTGCACCTAGCTCCGCCTCTGCGCACACATCCCCTCACCGCCACCTTTGCCCTGGACGGAACCGTTCGCCCTCCTCTTAAAGCGGGAGGCGGACCTCTTTCGACTTCGGGAGGAACAATCTGCACATGCCCAGAGGCAATTGTGATTTCAAAAATTATATCTTTGCACTCTGGGGCTCCCGCATAGGGCTGTGGGAGAGGCTGTTGCCCCAGCTGCAAGCGGGTGGTATTATACGCTGCCCCTCCGCATGCTTCCAGCAGGGTCAGAAACGTGCTTGGAACGCGCTCGGGTACTTCCTCGCCTCCCCTGCCGACGCCCTTTCCCCGGCTCCGGTAGCTCCACCCCGAGAGGACACCCACCTTCCTTCCTTCCTTCTCTCCCTCTCTCACGCGCGCCCTCCTGCCCCTTCATTCCTTCGCCGGCTACGCAAGCAGCAAGAAGAAGCGCCCGCCGCGCGCGCAAGTTCTCCCGCTGGAGGGCGCACGGAGCAGATTTTGCGAGGAGGCCTCGCCTGCGCCCCTGGCGGGGGCCTTCCTCACCAACCCCTACCTATGGCCCTGGGCACGACCCAGCACCCCACGCCGGACCCCCCTCAAAACCAGGGCCAGCACTCAACATGCTACACCCCCTGGGTGTGTGCTTTCTTACGTTCAGATCTCTGATCCCCTGCTGCTTTTGGTGGGATGGGCGATTTGGTGGGATGAAGCGATCGTTCCAAGCCCACAAAACCTTTTTAACCAGTCTGCCACCAGACAAACATGTATACACCCCCAACTGCGAGAGGACACACAATCACGACATCATACACAGGTGCGCACACCATGCAACAGTTAAAACAGGAACGCGAGGAGGAGAGTAAGCGTTTTCCCTGCCCAATGCAGCTCCCCGTCAAGCACTGTCAGGCTGCATTGGGATTGCAATTGCAGGACACTTTCTACGTGGCAAGAAACATTTCTTCACCTTACATGGAACCTAAGATGACTACAAATGTATTATTTCCTGAAATGAGTAACGAAACAAAATTGAAAGGAACCTCGTTGAAGGAAACTTACTTGGGAGTAAATTTACCCATCAAAACTCAAAGGATTTCATAACTCAAAGAGGGGTGGCAAAAAGGGTCAAAGAGACTTTTTAAAAGCTATGTTAAAAGGAAACCTGAGAGTCTTGACATGGGCATAGCCAAGAAGGGGAGGCAGGGGGGCAGCTGCCCCCTCCCAGATCAAGTAAAACAATACTTAACTGACCAATCAGGTTGGTTCTGCCCCCCCCAGACCTGGCTACTCCCATGGGTCTTCACTGATCTTAGGAAATGCAGCCCTTTAACGATCCTTTAACCAAATAAATCCAACCTCAGATAGCCTCTGCACATGGAAGCTCTACTGTTGACAAGCAATTTACTTTTACTGGAAGGGGCACTCATTTTCCCTTTGGTCATGCAGTCATGCAACGTCTTAGTAATAATGGATCGTTTGAGGAATCCTATCTGCAGAGCTACTGAAAGTTGAATGAAAGCCAGATACACACATACAAAAAAATATTTTACACACAGAATATTTTCGTATTTGGAGAAACTTTTCTCAAGCCTCTTTCAAACACTTTCCCAGTTTCTCCTTTCTCTAAATTGGCCCTGTTTTAGATTGATCAAATCCAATACCTAGCTTCTTTTAGAAAATGCTTGTCTTAGGAAAGATAAATTACCTAGGGGGTTTCGGTTTTCCTTTCTAAAAAATAATGAAGCAAGCTTGCCTTTAAAACTGCACATTTAAGATAAGCAGCAGCAGCTGAAGTCAGGATGTTACCTTTAAAGCCAACTTAAACTCAGGGAAGCTTCAAACTTCAGAACTTGGCAAAAGTTTTTCTTAACATTTCTAAACCTTAAGAGTGCAAATCCTGAGTTAACCGAAGCCTCTGAAAACTCTTCCTACTATTAACAAGCACAGTGTCAAATAATATATACTGCCTATTTTTATGCCATTTAATAACAAATGTGTTGAGCTTTGTGTGTGTGCGTGCAAATGTGCATGGAGTGTGCGTGTACCAAACTAAGAGCCGAGGTTCCCACTAGCGAGCCCTCTGGGTTTAGTCAGTCAACCAGCTGCAAATCCACCTTGTCCAGCCCACATTTGTATTTATAGCCCACCTCTTCTCCAAGGAGCTAAAGGTGATATAAGGTGAAATAAAAGCTGGGTCGTTTTTTTAACTAAAGAAACAATCCTGAACCTGATTTTTAAATCCCTTCTCTTTTTCTCCCTCCAAAAGGGGTGCTGTCACAATTAGCATTTGGTGCAGGCAGGGGCAAAATGTGAAAGTCCCAGAAGTTCCAACTCCAACCCCCCCAGCACCTGTCCTGGATCTGGCTGCTCTTGGCTGAACTTGTCCCCTCTTCTCCCTTGTATCCTCTCAGTATGCGACAGTCCCTCCGCACACCTCGCTCCAGCCATTTCTGCCACACCTTCACCCAGCACGCATTGCACGCCTCCTTAGTCTTCATCACACTCCTCACAGCTGCCTGTCCTTAAGTAGGGGAGGCTATTAGGGCATGTTCCAATCTGAATCAGTTACAGGTGCAGGGATCACGTGTTCTGTACTTCCAGCCCTATCTTGCCTGGCTAGGCAGGCACAGCTGCGAGCGTTTCCTCAGACATCCCCCACCTGTGTTTAATTCCCTCCAGGCTGCTGATCAAAGTGCACACAGCTGCTGGCAGGGAAATTAGGCTTTCTTCCATGGGTCAAAGACTCAATTCGGCACCGCCCCCTCCCCGCCCCATGTGAGCTCACAAGCACTCACACACACAAGAAGCTCCACACGTTTGTTCTTAAAGGGCAGAAAAATAGGCATATTATTTGAATACAAGGTTTTGTTTATATCTAATATTTCACTGATTCCCAACATAATTTACACCACAAAAAATGCAACATAACATATAACTGCAAGGGGGGGAAGAAAACTTTTTTACAGTATTAGGAGATGTAATGTATATCAATTTATAACATTATTTTTTTTTGCTGCCGGTTAGCTGTGAGATAAATCAATTACACTTATATATTACACTAAGTCGCTTAAATTATTATTAACCGTTCCTCATTGCTCTGTTTAGGGACTTACCAAAGGAATCCTGCAAAGGGAGATATTACTAGAGCCTGACATGCTTGTATGTTTGGTGGCATTTTATGCATTGTGACTTGCTATCATTTTTATTGATTATAGCTTAGTAATTCTTTACTGTAATTGTTAAGTGTAAACTGTTCGATTATTATGTGCATACTATTCTTTTTAAAAAAAATTAAATGTTTATTGATTTTCAACCAGAATACATTTATGTACATTTGTTATACAAATAGATCTCATATAAAACCTTTAGCTCTGCCGAGCTTCAGACTTCCTTCCCCCCCTTCGATAAGTATCTTATAATTTCATTACATCTCGTATTTTATTCGTTTATCTAATTAACCATATGCTGTTGAAGTTAATCAAACCCTGCCAGGGTCTTTAAAGATTTACAATTATCTCTTATATACACCAAATATTTACTCCAATTTTCAGAAAACTTCTGATCTTCCTGATCTCGTATTCTCCCTGATAATCTAGCCAGTTCCGCATAATTTATCAATTTAACCTGCCAGTCCGAAATAGTTGGTAATACATTTGTCTTCCAATTCTGGGCCAACATAATCCTTGCTGCCGTCGTGGCATACAAAAATAAATTCTTATCCTTCTTTTTAACCTCCTTTCCCACTAATCCCAAAAGAATCTGGTTGAGCAATTTTTGAGCCAGCGACGGGAAAGTGGATTATAAAGACGGAAGGTGGATCTATAAAGCACGATAGTAAGACTACTACCCCCTTCTTTGCTATATTCAGGAGGAGATTGTGCTATGTGATATAAGGGATTATAATCAAAGAAAATTATAGTGTTTGGAGCGCTTGGGAAAACTTTTTGGAGGCTTTGGGGCGATTTTGAGGAGCGTGGCGAGTGGACTCTTTGACTCTGTCGGAGCCCCTTCACCTCCTCCTTCCTCTTGGTGGTGGAGAGAAGAAGAAAACAGCGATATACTCTCCCCAATTACAGACTTCTGTAGGACTGATTTGGAGTGAAAATAAGAGAGAAGGAAAGTAAGAAAGAAGACAGAATATAAGCCCCTTTCTGGTCAAAGTGCTGGGGGCTGTGTTTCACCTCTTCTCCTTGCGATTACAACGTGCAGTTTGCAGGCTGCCTTATGGCAGCGCTTAGGGGAACTCTTTTAAGGACTGTGGCGAGTGGACTCTGTGACTCTGTCGGAGCCCCTTCACCTCCTCCTTCCTATTTAATTTTACTATTCTAATGGATTATTGAGTATTCAGTATTATTGAATATTGCTTTACTTGGTATGTTGTTTATTTTAAAGTTATGTTTTTATTCTGACTTTTTTTGGTATTGGATCACATGGTTATTAGGGGTGTGATCTTTGTCAGGGAAGAGCCCATACTTAGCATGCAGAAGGTCTCAGGTTGTGTCTGGCAGCATCTCCAGGTAGAGCTGGGAACATGCCTGGTCTGGAATCCTGGGGGGTTGCTGCCAGCCAGTGTAGACAATACAGCTTCCTAGGCAACTTCAGAGACATCACCTTGCCAACAAAGGTCCGTATAGTTCAAGCTATGGTTTTCCCAGTAGTGATGTATGGAATTGAGAGCTGGACCATAAAGAAGGCTGATCGCTGAAGAATGGATGCTTTTGACTTCTGGTGCTGGAGGAGACTCTTGAGAGTCCCATGGACTGCAAGAAGATCAAACCTCTCCATTCTGAAGGAAATCAGCCCTGAGTGCTCACTGGAAGGACAGATCCTGAAGCTGAGGCTCCGTCGAAATTAAGATATGGGGGGGTGGGAGGCACAAAAATGCAACTTTCCAAAGATATTAAAGGAGCCCAAACACGTTTTTTATTCATGCAATAAGTGTTTCCCGCACGATCCAGAGACTCGAAGAATTGCTTTAGTTTCATGCTGCATTTGTTGCTTCTCAGCGGCCAGGCAGAGGTCTCTGTTGCTGCTGGCGAAAGGCAGTTCCCCAATCTTCTCTCCACCCCCAGCTAATGTGCCTGTTGCTATGTACGGAGTGGTACGTGGGGAAGGCTGTGAGAATGTTATCAGACTCTACTGAATAGGCCTCGTTGCAGTCGGTGGCGAGCAACGCGCAACGGCCCCAGTGAGCCGACTGACTGGTGCGATCCTGATGCTCTAACCTCGAAGGCTGATGGTGATGTTAAGGCTGGAAGGAAAAGGTTAACACTGGGCACACACCTAGTGAATCACCTTATATCCCTCCCTCCCTCCCTCCCTGTCTTCTGTGGAGGGATTTCAGATCATAATTCCTGCTGGTGGTGGTTCAAATGCGAGGCTTCGCCCCAGAGCCTTGCAGAGCCAGGCAGAGGCCCGGGCCAGGTATGCTGACAAATAATTTTATTTCAAGGCTTGAACCGTATCTGCATATAAAGACAAAATGGAAAATATAGATAAATATGCTGACCGAGGCCCCCTTTGGAATCGGGGGCCCCAGCCAAGTGGCCCATATGCCCCCCCCCTGTCTGGGCCTGCTTCGCCCCCAGTGTGAAGCAATGAACTTGCAGGCGTTTTGAAGTCCTGCTGGAAGCGATGCTGCCGGTCGGTCTAATGCGCCCCTTTATTCCCCGGAGTTGGTGGTGGGCGCATGTATCCCCCCCATTCCAGGATCCCATCTGTTCCCACTTTCAGAGGAGCCATCAGAAATGAAGACCTTCCTTATTAGAAGCCGAGGGCTCCCTGGGGCCCCGTAATGTTCTCAGCAGATTTTGTTCCTCGCTGGCTTTTAGTTTTTAAAAAATGGTTTTTACTAATAATCTTACTGCTTTATTCTTTTTGCAAACAGCTTTGAGGTTTTCTACAATCAACCGGGGTATACACGTAATTGAATAAATAAAATTAACAAATCTCCAGAGTGGCGTCTCCTTTCATTTATGGAATGGAAATTTACTCTGCACGTGCTCAGGGACACTTTCATCATGGTGCTGGGAGGGACGCTCTGCAGAGTAGGAGCCAATTCCTGGGGCCGGTAAAATATTTGCGGCCCCCAGTAAAATATTTGAGGGGGCCGCCCGCCAAAAAAAGTTGCTGGTCATTCATTGCTGTTCAAATGGTGTGCGCGCGCCATGTCTTGTGATCGGGGCGGGACTTACCTGTCCCCATGAGTAGCCAAGGGAGGGCAGGGGGCAGCTGCCCCCCTAAATCAAGAAAATAAAAAAATGCTTAACTAACTGACCAACTGATTCCGTCCCCCCCCCAACATAAATCCTGGCTACGCCCATGCCTGCCCCCCCCCCCGCACCCTGGAAGGAGGCTGCTGGACCACATGAGCTCCTCTCCCTTCCTCTGTGCTCCAGGGGGAGAAGAGGCACATCCACGTGGCCATTGCTCTCGCTGCTGTGTCCACTGAGACAGGCGGTCACTCGCTTGGAGAGGAAGGGGTTCTGTGTTGTTGGAGCAAACTCCGCCCTCTGAGGTTGGGAAATGAGCGGTTGTGTGTCTGCGAGAGAGTGCGGGCACATGGTCCATGACTGACAAGGAAGGAAGAGGATCAGCGAGAGAGCAGAGCTGCTCGGTTGGGTGGCAGCGGATGGGGAGCCGCGGGGCTTTCTGAGCCAACAGCCGAGGATGCCTCTCCGTGGAGGAAGGATGCTCTGGGGCTGTGCAAGGATGCTCCTCTGCCTGGCCGGGTTGCTCCTGTGCAGGCGCTACATGAACACCTTGTTCTGCCAGGAGCCCAACACCATCCAGAACTTGGCGCAGCTGCGGGGCTTGGAGAACTTCACAGAAATGTGTCACCCGGGGGCGGCTTCCTGTGGGTAGGTATGATGGGAACGGGATGGGTGGGGTTCTGCAACTCCTGCCTAACTCCTCCATGGGTTCCTGGTAGAAGAGTGCAGCGGAAGTTGGGGTGCCTTTGCCTCCAGAGAATTTGGACCTCTGACTGAAAAAACATCTCTAGGATCACAGGGAGCCGGAAGAAGTTTAAGGAATCTTCCTAAAAGTGAGAGAATGCAAATCTAGCATTTAAGGGGTGTCTTATTTTTTAAAAATCAGAGATGTACACACACGCCCTAAATAAACGTCTACACAATAGGGTTGGGGGCAATGCACATATCTTGACCCAGTGCATGCTCTTACAGCACAAAGATGAGTTAGAATAAGCCTCTACCCGATGATGACCCCCCCCATGTGAAATCTTTAAGGGGTGGAGAACCCAGAACCAAAATGCCACCTGAGAACAGCACTATTTAGGAGGGCGCTCAGAACCAGCATGAAACATTTTCTGTTACCTCTTCTGAATAGCGTTATCTTAACATCAAAGAATAGGTTTAAGCTTTTTATTCTTGGGCCAGAATCACAACTCCTGTTGGGAAAAGTGAATGCAGCCTACTTGAAAATGGGATGGGGGGGCTTAAAGTGATCTGTCCCTTTGCTCAGACAGGTGCGCTCTCTCCTCTCTTTCCATCTTTTCAGGCGTCTCCCTCCCTCTAAGCACACACGCACCTTTCTTCTCCTATACAACAGGTACGCCCTTGTATGGGAGGTGGGACAGTGAGCAGAGTACTAGGGGCAGAGAGAAGAAGAGTTTGGATTTAATATCCTGCTTTATCACTACCCGAAGGAGTCTCAAAGCAGCTAACATTCTCCTTTCCCTTCGTCCGCCACAACAAACACTCTGTGAGGTGAGTGGTGCTGAGAGACTTCAGAGAAGTGTGAGTAGCCCAGGGTCACTCAGCAGCTGCAGACACGAAGCCGGTTCAGCAGATTAGGAGTCTACCACTCTTAACCACTACACCACACTGGCTATTGTGTGCGTGCATGCCTGCCTGCCTGCCTGGTGCCCCTAAACGAAGGGATAGGCTCCTGCCCGGTCTACCTGGAAGGCAAAGAGCGGACGGCCACCCGTCCTGCCTGCCTGCCTGCCTGCCTGCTCACCGGAGGGTCTGGGGCTTCCAGGTCTACCTCGGAGGACAAACGGCTTCCCGGTCTCCCCTCCTTGGGCCCGGGAGGCGCGGGTCCACTCGCCGGGTGGCCTGGAGCCTCTCCCCGATCTACTCGCCGACGGAAGGGGGGAGGCTGTCTTGACGGTCTTCCTCAGGGAACGGTAGGCTTCCCGGTCTACCCACCGGAAAGCGCGGCTCTGCCGGACTACCTGGAGCATGGCGCGGAACCGCTGGCCGGTCTACTGGGCGCCGGACCTCGGGAAGCCCGGTCTACCTGCCGGAGGGGCTGACAGCGTTGCCCGGTCTCCCTGCCCTTCGCGTCCCTCAGGGCTACCTGCCCGGGAGGCTGCGGCTTGCCGGTCTACTACGCAGGACGGAGGGCTTCCCGGTCTACCTGCCCGTGCCCCCTATGGAGCCTCCAGGTCTACCCGGTCGCTGGAACCCGACGACATCGCCAAGGGTGGGTGGGGTTCGTGGCGACAGCTGCCGTAGAACTCGGCGACTTTGTAGACCGCCGCTTGGCGGCAGCGCAGCAGGTAGGCGATGGAGGGGACGGGTGAGGGCGTGCGGGCGTTCGTCCTTGCAGGGACGGCAAGGGAGAAAAGTCTTGGCGTGCGTGCGTCCCTTTGCGGGAGGGGGAGCATGCGGAGACACAGGGATACAGAAAGACAAGCACAAAAGCGCTCGTGCGCTCTCACACACACTTGATTGAGGGGGAGGGAGGGAGAGAAGGGGAGAGGGGGGGCAGGCAGGCAGGAACAAAATCTCACACACACACAAAAAAACAACTCGTTTGCGGGGGAGGGAGACAGAAGGGCACAAAATTTCTCTGTCACACTAGCATACACTGAAACACAGCATGTGCTTGTGTGCGGGGGAGACAGCCAGACAGAGAGATGGACACAAAATATCCCTCCAACGCGCGCACACGCACACCCAAGAAGCCACCCCCGCCTCCCCATGTGCTTGCGTGTGGGGGGGAGAGACAGCCCCAAAATAGATCACACAGAGAGAGAGAGAGAGGAAGGCAGGCAGGCACACACACACACACACGCATTCCCCATTTCGACCTCACGCCCTCACGCCCGCACGATCATGACAACAAAAGGGAGAAGAAGAAAACGGCTGCCCTGCCCTTACCATGCTGGCCACACGAAGGCGCTCCTAAAGCAAGGAACCGGCGCCTACCCGGTCTACCTGGGAGAAGGCCGGCAAGGAACGGCCTCCCTGCCCTGCGGCGGCCAGACGGGGGCGTTCCTAAAGCGAGGGAGGGGTGCCTAGCCGGTCTACCGGGGGGGCGGGAGGCAGGTAGGCAGGCAGCGGACGGCCGCCCTGACTCCCACCCTGCTCCCTGACGCTCCTAAACGCCTACCCGGTCTACCGGGGGGGAGGCAGGCGGGCAGGCAGGCAGGCAGGCAGGCAGGCAAGAAGTGAAGGGGACCGCTTCCCCGCTCGGTGAGGAGCCGGGAAAGCAAAGGGAGGATGGGGGCCCGGTCTATCCGTGCTCTGGGCAGGGCGAGCCGCAGCAAACTACCCGCCGACTGCCCGGTCTACTCGCCGGGGTGTATCACCATCATCATCGGGGCGCCACACCCCTCAGACATTGTTTGTCCGCAGACATACAGATTGTTTTCTAGCAGTCCCATCTACACTTTGCTAATTTCCTGGTGCTCACATTCCAGCACCAAGGGAGGCTTTGATTTTGTTAAAGATGGAATTGGCGTAAATGCCTCCAATCGCCACTCGAAACGAGAGAACCTTGAGGTGCCTGGGCGTTCACATACAAAAACTGGGAGTTCCATCACAGGAACACCCCCAGGCCCAGCAGCACAGGAGCTGCTCCTCTCCAGGGTGGTACGGTCATGGGACCCGCCACCTCTATTTGCGTTGCCATGTTCATTCATTTCAGTAGAACCGAATCTGTGTGAGGTTAAGCTGAGACTCTCTGGTTCGCACCCAGAGTCTCAGATAAGCCTTCCCTGTTAGCTGCCTTAAGACGTTACCCGACTCTCACCACGAGGAGGTAGGGATAGGCACGTGGAAAAGACCACCAAAGATCGATCAGTAGAGCATCACAGATCATCGGCTGCCATTTTCCTTGAGAGTCAAAGTTACTTCTTGCACATGAATGGAGCAAGACACACCGCGTTTGTGCAGGTACAGTGCGTGGAGCAGGTTGCTCCACCTGAACACCAGCATGCATGCCAGCCCCTTGAGGGCCCTCCCCTACATGACAGTCAGTGCCATTTGGCAAGTTACCAAACGTGGGGTCCACCCCACCGCAGGGAAGTCCCCACCCTCTCACTCCTGCGTATCTCTCAGAAATGCTGCCATGGCTACAAGAGCACAGGGGCTGCTCGAGGGTTCTCCAGACCTGGAGCTGGGGTCACAGCCCACTGCCAGTCACTCACTCACCCACCCACCTCACTGCTCCTCTCCCAGTAGAGACCCAAAGGACAGCAGAATAGGACAAGGCTGCTCACCGCTTCTCGAAGGGAACCATGTCAGGCGCTGTGCCTGCCCCACACACCACAGGCCACACTGACCAGGAGCACAGTTGGGTCATTTGCGATTCCCCAGAGGGTCCTGAAAACCCTGTAGCCAGAAACCTCCATGAGCATGCCGTCCTGGCACGGCGCAAGCGAGCGTCGTCTTGGGCACTGGTACCGGCACGACGGCAGCCCGGCGCCTCGGAAGCCCCTGGCGGTTGAACTCAGCAAACTCACTCCGGCAAGAAGCTACGCGGCTCCCCGGGAATGCCGGTCTACCCATTGCACTTGGGCGGCGGTAGACCGTTCGCGGCGCCCGCCCTCTGCTTCCTTGTGATGGAGGTGAGGTGAGAATGGTTGGTGGAGTGTGCGAAGGCCGGAAAAGGGCAGGCTTCCGACTCTAAGGGTCTGGCCCCTGCCTAGCCTAGAGTCGAGGTTGCTGGTGGCCCTGGTCTTCCGGCCGGCAAGCGGGGGTGGGTTGGCCGGTCTTTTTGGCGGAAGGAGCCAGAATCTTCATGCGCAAACCTTCCTCAATTGCCTTGTTTCAGTTTTGGCTCGGTGATCGACACTATCACAGTGCTATGCCGCCTTCTTGGAAGCCTCTCCTGGCAAACTGTAGCAACTTTCCTTCATCAGAACGCTGTGTATCCATGGCTATGCCGGTTTACCCATGCGATCAGGCGTCGGTAGACCGTTCATGCCGCCCGTCTGCTGCCTAGCAAATGGTGAGCCCAGTCTCCCTGCCCACGGCTCCACT